GGTCTCACTATATAGCCCACATTAGTAGTAATCCTCCTGATTTCTGCCTCCCAGGTTCTGGGATTATAGGTGTGTGCCATCGCGCCTGGACTCCATCGCCGGCCCAGCGCACTCGGAGGCAGGGCCGGTGCGGCATGCAGAGCCAAAGATCGAACCCTGGCCCCTGCGCTTGCTTAAGCAAGCGGTTAGTCTGCTGAGCTATACCGCCGGCCCTCTCCTCCCCTCTTTACAACTCCTCTTCCCCTTCTTATTTATAAAAGCTTTGTTTCCATTTTTTCCTTCTATTCTTTTTTCCCTTGTCCCTTCTTTCCTTTACTCCTTCCCCTCCCTTGTTCCCCTCCTCATTTGAACATTTTCTTCTTATTTCCCAGTATCTATTATATGTTTTGGTTGTTATTTACCCTTTTGGTCCTTTCTTGGTACTAGTACTTTCCATGTGTGATTAGGCTTAATTTTCATCATGATACTTAAGTGTTATTTATTTCCATTTCTTAAGCAAGGAAATTAGAATTGAGAGAAAATTAGCTGTCCTGTCTAAGATTCTATAGCTAGCACAGGCAGAGCCAATGTTTAAACCTAGATTTGTTTGGCTCTGTTCTACTACTCTGTATCACTAATCCAGCCTGTAGCCCAGAAGACTTTGTCTTCAGTTTCTTGTGCCATGTGCTGTGTTTCATATATTGGACTTTTTTTCTTTTTCTTTTTCATGTGGGATTCATCTTTTATATGCCTTCTTTCCTTCTTGACCAAGGGCAAAGGACCAGTTCCAAATTCATTGCTTAATGAGAGTCTTCCTATCCAGCCTTGGCCTTCACCTTGTGGGGCTTGACTTCACTACAGCTGATTTTGGGAGATTCTGCTGACTGACACAATAATGCAGTGAAAAGTCTAAACCTATCAATAGAGAATGTATTAGAAATGATTTGCCTCTGTCAAGCCCTAGGAAAAGGTGTTTTTTTTTTTTTTTTTTTTTTTTTCCTTCTTTTTTTGCGCAGAACCGGGGATTGAACTCAGGCCCTTGTGCTTGCCAGGGAAGCACATATTCCACTGAGCCATCTCCCCGGCCCCTTGGAAAAGGTTATTTTGACCACATGGTAATCACAGCCTATCCAGTTTTTTCATGGTAGGCTCAAAGATTAGAAGGATTCAGCTATTGGGAGAAAAGGAAGGAGACTCCTTTTGACATGTAGAGTTTTTAAGGGGTTTGTAGTTGATCTCTGGAGGGAGACTAGCAGTCAACAAAAAGTGGACTAGGGATTGGAAAACATTAGACTCAGATCGCAAGGAATGATTTATATACAGAAGGGCTGGAGGTATAAGAATGAATGGGATTTTTGAAGGCTGTGTGAAAAGGACTATGAATAGGTCATTAAGATACACATGTAGATGCTAAAGAGAAAATAGAGAATCATTTGGTAGGAACAGGGACTCCAGGAAAGTAGAGTTTCAAGAGCCAAAAAGAGTATTTCAAGCAAGAGAGTAAATCGAGTGTCAAAAAGTGTGTGGAGATGGAAGAGATTAAGAACTGAAAAAAGGCTCATCTTTTTAGTCTTTGGTGAACTGTGAGGGAGCAGTCTTAGATGTAGACATGAGAAAATGTGTATTTCAGGATTCAATGATTTGATTTGGGTAGAACAGACACCACTGTAAGAAGTAGTGGAAAATGCATAGACTGAATCAGAATTTGTACTCCAGGCAGTAGTGGGCTTTTTTTTTTTTGTACTTTTGTGCTTAAAAATCTACTAGCTAGTCAGTGGCTGATACTTTGGAGAATAAAACTGGGGAGTATATGTAAAGTAGAGATAGGCCTAGGCAGCAAACAGAGGTTACTGCCTTAGGGAAGAGGTGATGATCTCCATTCTAAAGCTCAAACCCTTGGTAATCTTGGAAATCACAGAACTTTTATCTTTCTTCCCAGGCAAGGGTGTTCCCACTGTTACATAGGCAAAATGCTTATGATTCTGGGGGTGTTCCATTCCATTAGGTTCTTTTGACCTAATAAAGCTTCTTGGGAGACCTCAGTTCCTATCTCATTTTTTTCCATAATCTCATTTTAACACTCTATCTTAAAGAGCTTCTCAATAGTATCTTGTTTGCCATTTACAACAAAGAAATGAGCCATCTAGTTTCTTCGAACTACCATCGAAGAAATTAAGCTGTAGTCACACTGTTATATCTACCCAGTTGTGAGCTGGAGATAGCATGCCTGCATTTCCATCCATAACTTTGGTTCCCAACCAGCTGCAGTTAACTTTCTTTTCAGTCCTACATTGAAATCACCCTTGATTTCCATTTTTAGATGCTATTTTGACAACCTCTTCTAGCACAGGATGCTAGACTAAATTAACTTCTGGCTGACCCAGCTGGAACTCTGGCATCCCACCAAGGTCAGTTCCTCTGGAGTCCCTGGAAAAGGAAGATACTTGTCAGACTCTCAGATTCAGAATTAAGCTTCAGGTCATTCTTCACTGACTTTGAGGATTCTTTTCCTCTGTTGGATATATGACTCTTGGCCTGTCTTTCACTCTTGGAGTAGGAGTAGGGGGATGATGGTCCTTTTCTCTCTAGGTTCCTGGACTTGAGAGCTGATCCTCTCTTCGCCTGCACTTTTCTTTGAACTTCCTAAGAGTTCCAGCCTTTAGGAGACTGGCTATCTTCCCAATCCTCTTTATCCTGTAGAACATTATTTAGTCAATTGTAAGCTCTACAGTTAGTAGTGAACAAGTGGAAATACCTTATCCAGTCTCAGTGTTTTCTGGGGCCATTCTGGGTGCTCCTTTATCAGGGCATGTGGGTGATAGGTACTAAAGGAATTGAGAAAAAAGGAATAAACTGATGAAGAAGGGGTAGCAGAGACAGAAAATCAGGACTCTATAGGGGAATCAGGAGTAGGTGACAGTGGGAATGGCAGTCATGGGAGGGGACAGGGATGGGAATTGGCTTTTTCTCCATCTGACCATCTTTGTACCTCTCACCATGACCCCATTCCCCCACGACCCCTAAACCAATTGCCCCCTTCTGGTCTGTAGGATGTGTCCAGCTTCCAGCAGGTTGAAAGACTTGAGAGTGGCCGGGGAAAATGTCCTTTTGAGCCAGCTCAGCGGTCAGCAGCTATAATGGCTGGTGAGTGGGGAGAGACAAGAACCTGTGCTTTCTTGCTCTAACTGCTTCCTTCCCCACCCCTGCTGTTGGAATTTCTGTGTGTTTCTTTCCTTGGAATGTCTATTATTCCTGTCTCTCTCTCTTTTTTTTTTTTTTAGCCTTTCTTGTTCTTCCCTGAGTGCCTGTGACCAAAGAGGAATCTACTATAATGAATATTGTAATAAACTTGGAAAATGCATAAAGAAAAAACTAAGTCTAGAACAGCACTGTCTAAAATATCTTTCTTTGTATGATAATGGAAATGTCCTACACTTGCACTGTACAGTTCAGCAGGCTCTTGCTGTTGTGGCTGTTGAGCCTTGAAATGTGACTACTGTGACAGAAGAAAGACACTTTAATTTTATGTAAACAGTCCCATGTGTGGCTACACATACTAATGCAGTTCTAGACTGTCTCTTCTTATAAAAGTACTGCCTGTGTCTAGTTTCTTTCTAGCCCTTTAAGTGTGTGTGTGTGTGTGTGTGTGTGTGTGTGCACACCCATATATATTCAAGCACATACATTTTGCTGGCTAGTGCTTTGTTGTTCAGGGGAATCAGTAATGACTATTAAATACATTTCTGTGGTTGCTTCCTTTGGCCAAGCCACCTACAATTATGCAAGTGTGGAATAGTTTAACATAGATCATGCCTAAATCTCTTCTGGAGAATGACTAATTCTTTGGTAGTCAGAAAGCAAGCTGTTTTTGTGCCTCATAACTGTATATTAGTTCTACACCACACATACACCCTCCAAATTCATTGAAAAGCTAGGTAGTTTCTCATATGAGTGTAATAAAGCAGGTTAATAGAAATTTTATGTATTATAACACTTTAAGATCTTATACTTCATGGTTATATGAATTTGAATTTTGTCATGTAACTATTTATTTATTTATTTATTTATTATGTACTTACTGTCTTTTTGAGACCGGGCCTTACTATGCTATTCAGGCTGGCCTTGAGCTCACTTCATTGCCCAGGTTGGTGTTGAGCTCGAAATGATTCTCCTGCCTCAGCCTCCTGAGTGCTGGGATTACATGTCCTGTAACTTTGTATAATAGGAATTTCTTTATACTTTGAAAAATATAGAAGTAATTTTTAATGGTATTATGTCACTCATCTTCTAGTTTTAGTTATTATCTATATTGATGTAGTAAATAGTTTTGTTCACTTTTTGGTCCTCATGTTAAATCATCTTAAGATTCCTAGAAATAGATAAATATAGCAAAGGGTGTGAACATTTTATATCTCATTATCTATTGCTAATTGAGTTTTTAGAAAAGGTGTATCAATTTACACCCTAAGCCAGCAATATATAGAAGTGTTTTGTTTTCTCACATAAAATTCACCATAATATGTTGAAAGTAAAATATCTCTGCTTATTTGAGACTTTAAAATGATATATTAGGGCCAGCCAGATATCTCAGCAGATTAAAGTACCTGCTTAGGCAGGTGCAGGGGAGGATGGTGGTTGATCCCCACTTGCTGTGTGGGCCCTGCTCCTGGGGCTCACTGAGACAGTGGATGAGACTAGGCGTGGTGGTGTGCACCTGTAATCCCAGTGCTCAGGAGGCTGAAAACAGGAGGATCACTATGAGTCTGATCTGTGTAGTGAGACCCTGTAGACCCTGTACTAAATACATTAAAAAAAAAAAAAGATGTATTAGCCTGGTATGGTGGCACATGCTGGTTATGTCAACACTCAAGAGGCCGAGGCAGGAGGATCATTGAGAGTTCAAGACCAGCCTGGGCTATGAAGTGGGCTCAAGACCAGCCGGAGTGGCATAGTAAGACCCTGTCTCAAAAAGACAGAAACAAAACAAAACAAAACAAAAACATTAAGCCAGGAATGGTGGAGCACTCCTGTAATCCTAGCACTCAGGAGGCTGAGGCAGGAGGATCCTATGAGTTCAAGGCCAATCTGGACCACATAGGGAGACCCTGTCTCAAAAACAAAAAAAGGATATATTAATTTTTTAAAAATGTATTTGGCACAGGTCTCACTACACAGCTCGAACTCCTAGTGGTACTTGTATTTTCAGCCTCCCCAGTGCTGGGATTACAGGCATGTGCCACCATGCCTGGACTCGGTGCCCTGGGGCTGGGGCGGGCACTGCAGGTGGTACGTGGTATTGAACCCCATCCTTGAGCTTGCCTAAGCAGGCGCTTAGTCTGCTGAGCTGTCTTGCCAGCCCTGAGATACATTATTTGAATTTGTGTTTCTTTGAACATTAGTGAAGTTGAAGATTTTCATGGTTAGCACTTATTTTTATTTTTTGGACAAATCCTTTGTTCATATTCTTGGGCCAATTACCAAGTAGGATCCCACTGTTCTGATCTATGTATCTTTTGCTTTGAAATCCATCCATCCATCTATCTATCTGTCCAATCATCCTTCTCCATCAACAATACCCCCACTGGTACTGAGGATTGAACCCTGGGCCTTTGCAGACTTTTTCTTCTACTTTTTATTTTGAGGCAGGATCTCACTTAAATTGCTGAATTTCTGACTGGGCTTAAACTTTCAGTCTTTCTGCCTTAGCCTTCCAGAATATTGGGATCTAGATTATATTTTTTAAAAGTCAGTCTTTTTTCATATAGAGAGCAGATAACATTTTTGTCTTTTATTTTTTTTTTCCTCTTTGTATATTTAAAATTAATCTTGATGAAGGCTATGAGAATGGGGAATCCAAATTAAAATTTTTAGTTAGTAGTTAGTTACTTAGTGTCATTTATTATGCTTGTTTTTTTTTCTTCACTGATTTGTGCTGTGAACTTTATCATAAGATTGATATTTATGGGCCAGGAAGATAGCTCAGTGGCATAAGTGCCTGCCTGGCAAGCGTAAGGTCCCAAGTTCTATCCCTGGTACCACAAAAAAGAGGAAAATTTATACTTGCTTGTAGTTCTGGATGATATTTTATTTGAATCAAAAATTGGGACTCATGGGCTGGGAGATAGCTCAGTAGAATAAGTACTTGCCTGGCAAGTGCAAGGTCCTGAGTTCAATCCCTAGTACTGCACCAAAAAAAAAAAAAAAAAAAAAAATTGGGACTGAGAACCTAATGATGAACTTTTGCTCATGTATGACTTTATTTTAGGAAAAGTCTTAAAAGCTATGCAGATTAAATCATTATGTAGTCATGTAAGTCATATAAAAGTTAGTTACTTTCCTTTTCTGAAAAAATATTGATAGTTCTTGAAAATAATGTACGTGGTAAGTAAATACAAAGTTTGAGGTGTTGAGATTCTCATCTACTACAGAAATTAATGAGTTCTTATTTAACTGTTTGCACAAAACAGTTTTTTTTTGTTGTTGTTGTTGGTTTTCTTTTTGTTTGGTTCTTTTGAGACAAGGTGTCCCTGTAGTCCAGGCTTGCCTTGAACTCATGGCAATCCCTCCTGCCTTCCCAGTGCTGGAATTACGGGCACATGCCGCAATGCTTTGCTTTGGACAGCAGTTTAGTGAATATTTTTCTTGGCTTTTATCAAGAACTTTGACAAAAACTGAACCATTCATTGAGATCATTAAGAAAGGTTTTTAAGTTTTAACCATAAATGTGTATTGATCCTATAGAATTGTTTGTCAACATAAGTAAATTCTCAGTTGCAATAATTCAAAGTAATCAGTTAACATGCTTTGTTTCAAGCAATAGTCTTTAAACACTGTGACTGAATAATTTCTTTGTGGAGTCAGCAAGTGAATTTATATTAGGATGTGATTTAAGAAGGCACATTTTATAAGTAAAGTAACTGCAAAGTGAAAAGAGATCATTTCAAAGTTTTTTTTTTTTTTTTTTTCCTATCTAAATGATCACAATCAGAGTTGGCCAAAGGAGGAAAAAAATTCAGGATTGTTTCTGAACTGACAATTGATAGAAATGGTCAGAAATCAATTTTTAGTTTAGAATGGCATCTCCAATTAACGTAGAACCTCTGTGTTTCTAGATGCCTCGTATTCCAATCATAGTCAATACCAATATTATGAATTTTGCTTGTTGTTCTTACTTTATAGGGCTATCATTTAACGTTTTTCTTTTTCTTCATAAGTGCCAGTATTCACTTGGGGCTTTTAGTATTGATCCATTATGTCCTATTGCCCTTCTGTTTTGCAACTGTCAATATAGAAGCTAGTGAGAACAGTATGTAAGAATTGAACCAAAATTCCCAGTTAGTTTTATAAAAATATTCTTACCAATAATAGGAGTATTTTGAAATTGTAAAAAAGAGTTTTTAGTAGTGAAAATGTTATTGAGCTATCATATCAGAAATATTTACTTAAATTATAAAAATTACAATGTGCATTGTAGAAAATTTAGAAATATATAAAGAAGAAAGTGAAAGTTTTATTTGTAATTCTGTCATCCCCAGGTAATTACTGTTTTTATTATGGAGTATATTGAGGATTTTCTTTTTACTATGTCTATTTATGTATGTGTTTATAAATAAATTGGAATTAGCATGCTTATTTCATTTACTATTAAGCATTTTCCTGTCATAGAAATTGGTTCTTTTGTTTTGCTTTCTTTTAGAGAAAGGGTCTAACTATGTGGTTCAGGCTGGCCTTGAACTCACAGAGATCTTCCTGCCTCAGTTTCTCAGTGCTGAGATTATAGATGTGTGCTGCCATGCCCGGCAGATATTGTAAAATTGTTTAAAAATAATAGTTTTTATGAATTACATATTCTTCTTTCATAAGAGTGATATTCCCATGTAATTATTAACTTTAAAAGTCAACTTTTAAAATCAATTACTGCTTATATAAAGAATGCTGCAACAAGAATCTTAACCAAGATGTTAAGTCAGTCCTTTATTTGAATCTAACTAATGACGTGTAAATCAGTCTAGTATGTAGAATTGTTAGGTTGAAGGGTGTAAAGATTTTGTTTGTTTATTTATTTATTTATTTATTCTGTATTTTAAGGAAGGGTCTACAGGATGTTCAGGGTCTCACTACTAGATCAGACTCATAGTGATTCT